AAATATAAATATCTTACCAAAGAATATTTATAAACTTTTGTCTGTACATCGTATGTTACAGGATTGTATGTAAAAAGTTTTGTAAATGCACGCATGATAGACAGTGCTTCTGCTAAACATTGTGGATTTTTCATGGCAAATATTTATTCCAACTATTATAGAAGAAAATTGAACTTGAACTAGTTAATTTAAAACACGACTTTTTTTGAGACTAAAAAAAACAGAAGCCCTATGATAAAATATTTATAGCACATAAAGGGAAATAAATTCACTTCAGTGAATTCAATTACTTAATAATATGTTAGTAAAATTAAAATTAGGCACCGGAACAGTAGCGTTGAAGTTCTTTGTTGTCTCTTGTAAGCTTTTGCAAATAATAGGTACATACAATATTAATGGATTATTATTAGTTTTTAATCTCATTAAAATACAAATAGTCTTAGGTATTGAGATACAAAATACAGAACATTTCTGTTACCATTATAGAAGAAACTTTTTGAAATTATAGTAAAATCAGTCCAGAAAAATATTTACAAACAATAAACAAAGCCAAATTTTGTAAAAAATGTAAGTACCTACTTCTGATATAGCCCTGGAAGTCAGCCATCTTTGAAAGTACCTTTTCTGCCATTTTTTTTGGTTTGCTCTCGCATCACAATGGACGGTAGAATGTTTTACTGATAATTCCATTTCATTTTATTTCCTTTTGTTTTCATTCGCCTTAGAAGGCTAGAAAGCTAATTGTAAGATAATAGGATTAAATATTACGCCTCTGCCCTGTGCTAGCCGCTGGTCTGAGGTTAATAAAAATTCGAAATTTATTTTTATAATTTTTGAATTTTTTTACAGTAAGTAAAAGCGAAGTTTAATTACAGTGAATTAGCAGCTTTGAATGCAATGCTAGCAATTTTGTCCTCTAAAGATCCCATCTAATGTAGCTAAATAAGAAATTACTGTTTCGATGTGTTCACTTATATATAATACCGACTACAAACAAAATTAATAAAAATATGCCGAGCACGTAAATATAGATATAAAAAAATTCGACTTTCAGCCAATCTTTAATTTTTCTGAGGTTGACCTGATCAGACATTTTAACTACGGTCCTGTTACAATCGGAAGTCACTTCATAATCGCTTCCTTAGGTCACTTCCCTTCACTCAATGTGTAAATTATAAAAACCATAGATGTAAAAACCTAAAAACAAAAAAAAAAACATACATAACCAAATAGGTGTCATTGCGGGTGTGCAGGTGTCCGATATTTTTGTCTTTGTATAATTTCTAATTTTTTTTAAATTTAATTAAATTACTTTTTGTTTCCTCAGCGCAGTTATGAGTGATAAAATAGATAAAAATCAATATGTCTTGCCCCAAGATCAACCAGTGGTAGTTTTAGAATCAAGAGCTGCATTTTCCGGATTAACTAATAAAGAAAGACTGTATGCACATTATTTAAGTGAGGCAGCTTGGGTCGGGGGATTGATTACTCTATTACAGACTAGCTCAGAGTCTGGACCTATTTTTGTTTTGTTACATCAACTATTTTATGGTGACAAACCATCTGAATTGAAAACTAAAGCACTACAAGCAGGATTTAGTCAAGAAGAAGTTACTGCTTTATTAGTCTATACCTGTGGCATATTTAGCAATGCTGGAAATTATAAAGTAAGTAATCTGTGTGTGTATTTTTTAAAATGTACCTTATTAATAAGTTCAATTGTACTAGGGATTTGGTGACACAAAATTTGTACCAAATATTAATGAAGAGCGTTTTGAAGGCATTTTAAAATTAAGTAAGCAATGGAGTCATATAGAAAGTTTATGGAATGAGTACAAGTCTCAAATCTTTGAATTAAAGAAAGGTAGAACATGTCTTGGTTTTCCACCCCAAGGATGTACTACATATTTATCTGCTAATTGTGGGCCTGAAGACAATAAAAAGGTTGAAAACTGGTTAAAGAAGCATCAGTTAGAGCCATATAATTCTCGATGTTTTAAAACTGAAAATAATGGAAAGGTAAATAATAATTATCTTTGTATCTTATCTTGATAATTTTTTGCTACTAAATGAACTAGCTATTTATTTTCTAGACATGATCTTACTTTATCAATTTGTGTACAGGTACTATTTGAAACTTATTTAATATTTAGATTGAGTACAATGTTCGATTAGCAGCACAAGAAATTGGTGAGTTGATTAAAGAAACAGAAGGAGAATGTACATACAAACTGACTAAAGGAGATTATTCCCCCTTGATGGGAAAAGTTGCTGAATATTTAGAACAAGCAATTCCTCATGTTGCAAATGTCACTGAGGCTGATATGCTTAAAGCATACATAAGATCATTTGTAACTGGAAGTCTTCAAGATCATAAAGATGGCTCAAGATTTTGGATAAAAAATAAGGGTAACATTTAGAAAATTATAATTTTTTTTATCTATAATTTTATGAAAATTTATAGGTCCTGCTGTAGAGACATACATTGGTTTTATTGAGACTTACAGAGACCCAGCAGGTGTTAGGGGAGAATTTGAAGGTTTTGTTGCAGCTGTAAACCGCGAAATGTCAGCAAAATTCAGTACTCTTGTAGCAAATGCAGAAGATATGTTGAAACTTTTACCGTGGCCACGAGAATTTGAAAAAGATACATTTCTTAGACCTGATTTCACATCTTTAGATGTTCTAGCATTTGCAGGAAGTGGAATACCTGCCGGAATTAACATACCCAATTGTGTGTATCTTGTAATTAGATCGATCACGTACTTTTTATCATATATTTTTGACTCTTTTTAGATGACGAAATACGACAATCGGAAGGATTTAAAAATGTTTCTTTAGGAAACGTTATACCAGCAAGTTATCAAAGTACCCAAACACCTTTTTTAAGCGAATCTGACGCGGGAATGCTACAAAAATATAGAGTGTCGTCTTTTGAACTTCAGGTAATTTGGCTTAAGCTTTTATGAAACAATTTATCAATTAGTTTAATTGAATTAGTCTACTTTTTGAATTTTTGCATTTGTAAATAATCTTTTAAGTTAGTAATAAAAATTTTTTAAACGCTAATCTTTTATTTTTTTGAAGGATTAAGTTATAATTTTTTTAATTTTTATTTATCGGTAATAATAAGTGAAAGTATTTATTGTGACTTAAAGTTATTTAATAGAATGAATTNTTAATATAGACAAGTATATATACAATTTTTGCTTACTTACTTGTTTATAAACCCTGCAGCATGACCAAATTATTAAAACTGTTTTAAAAAAAGCTATAAATGCTAATTGAAGATTCATACTAATTTCTAAAATTACGTTTTCATGGTGGATGTTTAAATTTGTGTAAATCTGATGAAGTTCGTTTATACATGTTATAAAATAGCATCCCATAAGGCAAGTTAGTTGAAAACTATACAATAAATTTACCGTTTCAGAATATTGCAGTATATCTTTATAAATTTCGTGAACTTTTACTATAACTGCTATTGTATTGTCTACAAAAAGACACGTTCTTTTAATATATCTAATAAATACCCAACGAAACATTTTACTATTAGCAACTAAACTGAATTACTGTTTAACCAAAATTAACAAGCACGAACCAAATTAATAAGAGAAATATAAGTTCTTGGTCAGTAATTAATTATGATCGAAACTAGTAGAGCTCTTTCAATTTGGTCGATGATTTGGTGGAAGTGCTTATGGCGTGCCAATGAGATCCAGTCAAGAAGATCGAAATCACAATCTACGTTTGCCGTTTGGTAGTTTCGATTACTGACCAAGAACTTTCACTGTTAGAGTAGTCGATTCGTTTTCATTATTCTAACTTTACTCTAATTAAAAATTCTTTTAATCCTAAAAACCCGCTTATAACTTCAACTGAAACCCTTTTTAATTGTGCATTTTCAACCAATTGCAAATTAAACATTCAATTTTCATTTTACCTGTATTATTCGAACCTTCTCGTTTGTGAATGCGTATCTTCAGTAATAAGTTTTTCAGAATATCATTTGAAGCTTTTAGTAGCTCCTCTGTTAAAATTACAAACGTGATAAACTGTTGGGAAATGGCGTTGGTAAGGATAAAAGGTAAATAATCGGCCAAGGCATAAAGTTTACTTTTTGTACGAAAGCCTATTAAAAAATCTTTTGCGACGACAAACAGGCAATCTATGAAAATTAAAACAGAACTGATAGCAACGAAAACGTATATTCGTCTGAAAGAAATTCCTGGTCCGAACGTTTTAAGCTTTCTATTGATTTCCTCAGTTTTGTTTAGATTTAGAGCAAGCTTTTTTGAAAACAAACAGATAATAACTGATCCTGATAATTGAATAAACACCAGTGAATTTACTTCAAACCAGTTTGTTGCTTCAAACAGTAAGTTCTTAAATTGTTCTGGTATTTCAGTAGTACTCTGCCAAGCTAGTAAATAGTAAATCAGATATATACAGGACACTCCGATGCATTCCAGGCATCCTTTCTAAAAAATAAATGATTGAATTAATTAAATTAATTGAATGAAACACCCATAAGTTCTTTTAAGTTTTTATTGAAATTTTTCAATTCTAGTTGATTATACCACTTGTCCTGCATACCAATTTAAAATCCTATACACCCCTATACCTCGCCTTATAATTAATAATTGTAGTTAAAATATTTTAAATTTTAGTAATCTATTTTCTAGTTTTTTCGTTTTATTTCTATTAAACACAGTGGCGTAGCTGAACCAAATGATGACATTAAGAAAAGTGCTTATAAATTGAATTCCACAAAACGTTACGATAGGTCTTACGTATATAGGTAGAACTAAACGAGTCTGGGAACCCCATATAGGTTTGGCTGCAGAACCCCGTCAATGTTATTAGTGTTGCCAAATAAGAACACATTTTTGCGAGGACCCCTAAGACACGAGACCGTTGGCGGTCTCCTACGCTTAGCTATATCATAGCTAGTCTTTGATTAGACATGTTTCACATTTTCACAATAATTGTTGCCCCATTGCATTGGAAGTCATCATCATCATAAGGTCGTCAGTCCTAAGACTGGTTGGACACGTACCTCAACTCTTTCCTATCCTGAGCTAAACTTCGCATTTCCCTAAAACTAGA